GCGGTTAGAAGACTGAACCTAAAAACATATATGAATCTCACCATGGAATAAGAAATAGAGGATACTGAAGGAGGGGAATAACTAGCTAGAAAGGGTTTTTTGAATGGCATATCATCAGGGAGTTGCAATTCAGAGCTGGAGTAATGATTTATAAAGGCAAAGGTATACAGATAGAAACATGTTAGCGTTATAGTTAAAACAGAGAGTGTTAAAGCCCAAGGATGAGAAGAAAAAAAGGTTGACAATTTCCGAGTGCAGCCAGTTAGAACAATTTCCATAATACCTAATGAACAAATGCCAGAAGTCTGGAGACATTTTTCTCAATATACTGGTTATATAATTCTTAGCACAAACACCAAACTGCTCACATTTGCTTGTAAGAAAATGTTCAAGTTCATTCAAGTTAAATTTTAAATAATTATGTTTTGCTTTAAAGCATATGGTCAAATTATTTTTCATAATTAAGATGGTTTTCTATCATTTTTCCTATTAATCCACCTCTTTGGAAATCTGTAACCGAAACATTTCTTCACCCAAAATGGTAAATGCAGAATTACAGAATTATGGAAATGTAGGGCTGAAAGGGACCTGCAGAGCTCACCTAGGCAAGATCATCCATACTATCCCATACAAATCCTTGTCTAACCTACTAGTAAAGCTATGCAATCAACTTGGTCACACAACTACAAAGCATAGATAGCACCCTAACTTGCCACAATGGGAGTTATTGTCCTGCTGCTGAAAGCTTTTAAATTGTGCTTGAGAGATCCAAAGAAGAGGGCCAGGCCCCATGCTACAGAGGCAGGCAACTCCCCCCTGCCCTCTTCCCACCATTCTGACCATAGGGTAAAATTCCTTCCTTATCCCTAATATAGCAATCGGTCTGACCCTAAACAGAGGAGTGAGACCCTTTTACAAGGAATCTCCGGGTTTAAGTCCCAGATGCAGAAGTACTGGTACACCCCACTCAAAATCCCCAATCCCCAATGCTTCTGAGGAAGGTGAACTTCATCCACTGCCCCCCCGCCCCTCCCACTTCTGCCCACACACATGTAGCAACAGGAGCAGAGAAAACCTTTTCAGCTCCAAGGGGCAACCAGCAAAGCCGATAAGTATGGGAAATATTAAACACCCTCCACTCTTCTCTGCAACCTGGGGACAACAACCACAAGTCCTGCTGGGGGACGGGGGGACTACTGCCACTGCTGGCCTGCTGAGCAACCCTTGCAAAGCCAGCGGGCCAAGGCATTAAGGGAGCCCACCCCTGCCCCAGCCCTGGTACAATCTGTGGGCAAGGCAAGAGCCCCCAAGGGGACACTTGCCTGCCTGTACACAAATGCCAGGAGCTTGGGAAATAAGCAGGAGGAGCTCGTCCTCCTGCTCAATGCAAATAATTATGAGGTCACAGGGATAACAGAGACCTGGTGGGACTCCACCCATGACTGGACTACGGGTATAGATGGCTATACCCTATCCAGGAGGGATCATGTAGATAAAAGGGGCGGGGGTGTAGCTCTCTATGTTAAGGAAAGCTACGCGTCCCTGCAAACTGATGTTGCCACCAGGGTGGACGACTGGACACCCTCTGGGTTAAAATCTGTGGGGAACACAGCACAGGGGACACAACGGTGGGAGTCTACTACAGACCTCCCACCCAAAGTCAAGAGCTTGACCAGGAGTTCGCCCAGGAACTGGCTGAGGCTGCATGCTCCAGGACTATGGTTGTCATGGGTGACTTCAATTACCTGGATATCTCGTGGGAGAATCACTCAGCAAAATCTGAGCAGTCGCAAAGCTTCCTTTCATGCGTGGATGACCTCTACCTGACTCAAGAAGTCTATGGGCCAACAAGAGGCAAAGCACTGCTCGACCTGGTACTGACTACTGGGGATGACCTAATCGGCGACCCAGTGATCAATGGGAAGCTGGCTGACAGCGACCACGAGCTGATCATCTTCACCATCTGCCGTAAAGCTGGCAAGTCAGTCAGCAACACGGAAGCCCTGACTTTAGGAAAGCCGACTTTGACAAGCCCAGGAGGCTTGTCAGTGAGGCCCTAAGGGACCACGACCCCAGGGGGAGGGGAGTTCAGGATGAGTGGTTGCTCCTCAAGGAAGTGATCCTCAGTGCACAAGCTAATTCAATTCCATCTCGCAAGAAAGGCAGCAAGAGGGCACAGCAGCCCCCCTGGCTCTCCAGGGATCTAGCAGACCTCCTGAGGCTAAAAAGAAAGGCCTACAAAGGATGGAGGACAGGATTCGCCTCCAAGGAGGAATATTCTGCACTGGTCCGGTCCTGCAGGGAGTAAACCAGGAAAGCCAAGGCTGCAACTGAACTCCAACTAGCTTCGAGCATCAAGGACAATAAAAAGTCCTTTTTCAGATATGTGGGGAGCCGGAGGAAAAGCAAGGGCAACATTGGACCCCTGCTGAACCAGATGGGGCAACTGATGCCCAGGAAAAAGCCAACTTATTAAATGGGTATTTGTGTCAGTCTTTCATCAGTCCCATGGGATGTCCATTCCCACCATGGGACAGGGCAGTCCGGGTGAGGGCGATTCCCTGCCCTCCATTAATGCTGACCTCGTGAAGGAACACCTTGAGAAGCTGGATACCTTCAAGTCGGCTGGCCCTAACAATCTACACCCCAGGGTACTCAAGGAGCTGGCAAGCATCATAGCCCAGCCTCTGGCA